ATCGTGAGGGGAAGGGGAGGGGGAGCCGTACCTCCGACGAGAAGGGGAGGGGGGCCGCCGAGCCGCCGTCCACCGGGGGAGGGGAGGGGAGGGGGCGGCGTTCCAGCTAGGTCGCGCGAGATATGGGAGGGGAGGGGAGGGGAGAGAGTCGGCACGCGGTGGGGAAGGGTAGACAGGTGAGATGAGAGAGGCCGCGTCCGTCCGTCCGTCCGTGGCGGGTGGGTGTAGCCGTGTACTACTACAGCAGGCCCGCCTTCCTTCCTTGTTCCACCGCGTCGCGTCGGCCCGGCCCAAAGCCCGCCCGCGTGGACCTTCCGCTTCTCACATGGCGGAAGGGTTTGCTTCGCTAACATGTGGGACCGATGCTGACGTGGCAGTGCACGGATACGGGCTACGTATAGCCAGGACCGTTGTTGCAACCTCAAGGACCGTATAGACGCTGTATTCGCATGTACAAGGACTGTATTGAAGTACTTCCTAACTATGAGGACCATGTTAGATATTGCCTACAACTATAAGGACTAAACATGCAATTATCTCCACCTAACCCCTGCCTTCTTCCCCTTGTATCCTGCAGATCAGATCGATAGAGGATGAGATGAATAAGCCGTCGACGCGGATCCAAGGAAGAGAGGACTGATGGCGCACACGTCAACAGCGCAAGAGAGAAAAACGACGGCGCGGGAGATGGATCGAGGGAGAGGGACGGTTGTGCAGGAGATGGAGCAAGGAAGAGGGCCCGCGGCACACCTAGATGGGAGGAAGAAGGAGATCGAGCAGCGCACCGGAGAGGAGCAGTGAGCGATAGGGTTGCGGTGGTGGACAGGACTCGTTCCGTGTGAATCCGTTCCGTGGATTTGGAGGTCTCAATGTATTCTTAGCCGAATATTATTTTTTTAGACAGAGCCGAATATTACTTTTTTAGACAGAGCCGAATATTAGCTAATGGGTTTGTTTAGGTCTCAGTCGATTGAGACTTCACGAAGTCTCAATCCGCTGACGTCATCATGGTACATTAGGCATGTTTACTAGTTGTCCTTTTGTTGAGTTGTATCCGGCTTAGCGTTGGGCTTATTTCTGTTTTTTTGTTTATTTGTTACTTTGAGTTGGGCTGCTTACTTTGTTTGTTGTGATTAGGCTGGCCATGAATTGGTTTGTTTGTTTTTACACACATTCGAAAAAAACTATTGAACAAAGATAAATTACAGGTCAGGCTCAGCCAATATAAAAAGTCAAAAAAACCATATACTTCCTTCCATCTGAAGTAGCTTAGTTAACAAATACATGTATTGACTAGTTTAGAAATTTCAGCAAAGAGTATGAAGACACTGGATCTTCAAGGGTTACCAAAAAAATAATGTGTTAACAAAATTTTGCAGTGTTACCTAGTTAACTTTCTGTATCAACTAAAAAAACTCAAAAAATGAATATATATAGAAAAATGTTAAAAATCAGTGTAGCAAGTTCTTCCAAAAGCAAATCCTCTAACGCTTCCGTGTCGGTGATTTCTACATGATATCCTCTCTCTTCTAATTTTGGATCGTCAAGACACGGCACTTTACCTTTTATATTTTTGTCATTCTCAAGGTCGCTTCCTTTGTCATCCATGTGTGATGTTATATTCATAAATGTATATGATACATTAATGTTGAAAAACAAGTTTAAAAAGAGGGGTATGACAAAGTATGACATAGAAGAAACTAAAATCAAGCCACCAGCTAGAAGAGAATTTCTACTACGTTAGTAATTCAACATATCATGCCTCTCTCGCACACAAAAGTATGAACAACAAAAAGTGTAAAGTTTGCGATTAATGCATCTCACACAGTTTGGTTGAAAGATCTCTGATTCATGTGTCACGTTAGCAGCATCCTGCAGTACATCACCTCTGATGGGAGCACGGGCGATGTGATAGTGTAGATGGCAATGGTCGTTAGCACCGCCTTGACCAGGACGGCCCTGCCAGGAGTCGCCATAAGTTGCCCAATCCATGACGCAAGCTTATGGGCAATCTTATCTTCAAGAGGCAGGAAATGTATCGCTTTGAGCCTGGTGACCGAAAGGGGAAGCCCAAGGTATCTCATGGGGAAGGATGAAAGCTTCGCCGTGGTGAAGAATGTCCTGGATCAAGGCCAACACAATGGATTGGAGCCACCAGGCTCTTGCTGCAGTTGGTGACCAAGCCCATGTCCTCCCCAAACGTATCAAGAGTGGATGCGAGGTAACCAACATCTTCCTTGTCTAGCTTAATAAAAACAACGGTGTCATCGACATACAGAGATGCACGGAGAGTTGCCGGATTTCCACGAAGCGGTTGGAGCTTTCCTTGCACTATGGCTTTGTGCAAGATGTGGTGCAGGGGGGTGATGGAAAGCACAAAAAGGATAGGAGACAGCTGTCGGTGTCAAAACTGGCAGATCTCGGATAGGGGGCCCAAGCTACGTATCTGAGGATTGGTGGTAGTAGGGGGGACAAGGACACGATGTTTACCCAGGTTCAGGCCCTCTTGATGGAGGTAATACCCTACTTCCTGCTAGATTGATCTTAACGCGTATGGGGATTACAAGAGTTGATCTACCTCGAGATCGTATTGGCTAAACCCTAGAAGTCTAACATGTGATTGTTCTGTTAGCCTCTACGGACTAAACCCTCCGGCTTATATACACGTCGGAGGGGGGCAAGGGTTTGTACAGAGATGACTTGAGGAGGAAGGAATCATTACATCCGGACATCTAACTTGCCTTTCTACATATATGGGAGCCCAACCGGACACGAGGGATGACCTTCTGCTTTTATCTTCATGGCCCATCAGTCCGGCCCACCTTCAGTAGTCCGGACCCCTGAGGACCCCCAAATCCAGGACTCCCTCAGTAGCCCCCGAACTTGCCTTCAATGACGAGGTTGTATTTGGCTACATGTCTTCGGTCTTGCAAGGCAGGTTCTTCTTCGGAACAACGATAGTTCAGCTCTGACTTTGATACCCCGTCTTGATGATTCCTTCCCTCTGTCGCCTCGGCTTCCACGCGTCAAATGAATGCGAACAGTCCATGTATTTTTTGCAAATAAACCCTCGGCCATGCGAGGATGGCATCTATTTAAAGATATTGGATCTCAGATCCCATTCCACACCACGCAGAAACCCTTAGAGCCAGCCACAAAAAATCCTGCAAACATGGCAAGCGCCCCAGCTCCTCCTCGTGCCCCCACGGCCCTCAAGCAGGCGATTGGGAAAGCTGCTCAGCATCTCATGCCCATCTGAATAGACTTCAAACGGAGGGATATCTCCCTCCTGCGGATCTAGTCTCCGTTCAGGCTGGATTAACTTCGATCGACGGTGAAGCCTGGGCGGAAAACTTCCCCAACCCCACTAAAGAGGAGCGGGTGTGCTTCGTGTCCTTCCTCCTAAGAGGTGTAGGATTTCCAATCTATCCTTTCCTTAGAGGTATCCTGGAGTTTTACGGGCTCCAACTGCACAATCTCACGCCAGGCTCTATCCTGCACATTGCGGGTTTCGTTGCTCTTTGCGAGCTATTCTTAGGCTGTGAGGCTCATTTCGAGCTATGGAGGAAATTCTTTTGCCTCGTCCCTCGCTCCCAAAAGGGATCCATATTCAAGGTAGGCGGCGCCGAAGTGTGGCGCATAGCAGGGACAGGTTACCTGTCTGGCACTCCCAAGAAGGGAACCGAAGAGTGGCCCTCGGAGTGGTTTTATATCGAAGACGTTGTTCTTCCGGACCTAGTTCAGCGTGGTCTTCCCGAATTCTCTAGCGCTCCTTTGAAGAAATGCTTCAACTAGCGCCCTCGAAGCCCCAAGGAAGAAGACAGCGCGGAGATTAAGAGGCTAGTCAGCAAGGTTAGAGTGCTTGTCCATTCCAAACTTTCCCATGTGGCATTACAGTGGGCAAGATGATGCATCCCGCTGCCTACGCGAAGGTCCGGATACTCCAGCTGACTTGGCTGCCATCTTAGCTGATCTTTATAAGGGGGGAGAAAGAGGAATTTGTCCATTTGAAATGTCGGGAAGGTTTTTCCATGTATAACCCCATCGACTGGGTAAGTTTTTTTTTCAATTTCTAGCTTTATCCAACCTCTTTTTATTGGGACATGCTAATCG